CTCAAAATCCTCCTCAGGAGCAATACAGGACATACTACACAGACAAAACCCCTGTAAGATGTAAGTAAAGTCCATGATCATAAAAGAGTTTGTTGTTTAAGTGCTGGACCACAGAGGGTACAGTTGTGCTCACATTGAACGAGCCGTGTTTGCCGCCAGCAGAGATTAAAACTATTTCACAAATGTTTTCCAAAACAAACAAACAAAATCAATGTATTTGCTATAGTTTCAGCTCTTTCAGCTCCTCATCAGCCTGCAAATTGACCAGGAGTCACCCAAAACCTACGTCTGACTTCAGATCTTCTCAAAACCACACAACTCTGCACCTCCTCTCCCACGGGCACTCCGACCCCTCACTGAATCAGCTTTTTAACAGTTCCTGAAAGTTAAACATGTTTGCTACAGAAAACACTGAATGAAGTGTATTCATCTGGGATGCACATATCACACTGGAACTCCTCCTAAAATGGGACTGCAGATGCACCCAAACAAATTCTGCCCTACTGTTAAAAACGTGTATTTTGCTTATTCTTTTTTTACTGTAAACCTTTAGTGGCTTTAAGGTTTTATCGCTTGTAGAAAAATTAGTTGATAATTGTTTGATAACAGTTGGAAATTGTTTACTTATGTTTCTAAAATTTGAGGAGACTTCAGGTTTTATTTTCTGCTCAAATGCAAGAAATGTTATATATATAACTTGGTTATTTTTTAAAGTTTTTCCTCCTTATTGATTAAAAAAATACATATTTTTTTCATCCCATTTTAAACAGATCTCAAAAATCTTTCTTTCCAAGAAAAAAACCCACCTGTTTTCATTGAATTGAGATTCTCGCATTCCCCTTCTTGCCCAATAAAGCACTTGTCTTTTAAAGGTATTATTTTAGCATGGTAAAATTTTCTCCCAAGATTCAGTCAGAGCTTGTTTTTTTTAAGGTAACGAGAAAAACCAAAGGAGAAACCCATATGCTTAAAAACTCATTCCTATTTTGACATAGTAATAAATCTGAGGATGTGTGTTCATTAAGAAATATTTTCTTAAGAACGGAAGTCAGGAAGAAACCTTTAAAAGAGTTGTTTTAGCCTTCTAAAACACTTATTAGTTATTTAGGTTTGTTCTACTCTGAACAAAACAAATTTTATTAATCACACAATTCTTTTAACCACCTTTGTAAAGACAAATAAAGCTATTCTATGGTAATTATTCTTCTGTAAGATCAGTAGTTACATTTACACAGAAAGCAGAGCCTGTAAGATTACTCTTTTAAAAAAATCGAGGCCTTATTGCAATTACTACTCTGCAAAATCAGTGGTATATTCTTTGCTAAAAAGTTATTTTACATATTTATATCAATAATATAAAACAGTGCTAACTCAACACATGAATCTGGATACAAAAATGCACTCTCTGGATGCCTCAAAGCATTTGATTTGCTGCTGGTCACCTAAATACAAGGCAATTCTGTGAAATCTGTAATACGAGGCGCTGGAAGACTCTGTTCACTGCTTTTTAACAGGACCTGACTGCTAAATCTTCAGATATACATCCTACCTAGTTAAAGCAATACCTGGCAGCATGATTAAGTTAACAGAGAGCTACTGGGGCATTAGCTGATTAAACTGGTAAACAATGGGGAGGCAAACCTTCGCAGCTCAGTGCAAAATTATATAACAGTGACCATACTTAATTAAATGGGAGTTCCTCAGCATCTTGCAGGCACTTTGCATCCAGCACAAATAACCATGGTTAAAAACATGGTTTGAGAAACATCTCTTTCTCAACTGACACCATCTGACGAAATCCTGAAAACTGATTTGAAGTGATGTGCACAGCGAAGCGTTTCACGAAGACAAAAGTGAATGCAGAACTACAAATTAGAGGTAACAGCTTACATCCTATTATTTTTTGTTTAAAAACAGTAAGAATATTATGAGAACTATGGAGTATATCATAAGGATGATACTTTGGCAGCCTTTGTGAATTATCCAAAAGAATCAATAAGAAGGACAAATCATAAAGCTCCATGAAACTGCCACCAGCTAAATGACCCTGTAAAGTTTTTTGACAGACCCACAAAATGTTTGTTATAGAACATGAATAAACTCAGAAACATGAAAGCAAAATCAATTTCAGAATACACATCCAAAATCCCATCTTAAACAAGATGGAGAAAAAAAAAAAAAAAAGCAGTACCCAGTGCACTTATGACCAGCATCACATGCCAACCCAGAATCAGAAAAGAAAGGAATTAACACCATGGAAGTTCACACTAAGAATCAAGTGTAGTGTATGAACATAGTATGTATAACCTTCACACTATAACTACTCAGTGTTGTTTACTTCAAACATATAAGAAAAGTACTGATCTCTAGGAAAAAAAAAAGAAGAAAATGCAGAGAAATATGCTGATTAAAAGAACATTCATTTCAGCTCCATACATGAGAATATACATATGTATATGAGACATTTAAATTTGGAGAGATATGCCAGTTAATATTTCTGCTACCACAAAAAGAGCATCGATATAAAAAAAAAATAAATATCAGACTGTAGCTATGATTTTCATTTCCAATTCCAACTGAGACACTTAACATGGGAAATCAAATACTTTCCTTTAGAAGTATACAGGTGACATAGGTTAGCTGTGGAGTCAGAGGACATGTCATCTACTGAATCCCTTGGAGCCTTCTAACACCTAATGTCCTCTGAAAGCTCCTTACCCCAAGGTATCCACACACAGCTTGACCCAGGTGAGTCTGCAAAGTTTTTGAGAGGGCAGATTAAACTGATATGACCGAAGACTACAGAGTGCTTAGAATATAATTTTTCCAATATGTGCTTTACTTTTGATACACGTGATATCTGTAATCTTCTCTTTCTTGGAAGTTCATTAGGCTTCCAGTTTCTCCCCATGCACACTGTATTGAGGCTACATGCCAAAGTATTGAAGCTACATGCCAAAACTGATAAAGACAGCATTTATAATATAGAGAAACTTAATTTGGAGTCAGAACTGATTACAACGCTAGATGAAAGATACTTGGGTCCATGGTTCAAAGTGAGTATAGAATATTTTAGATTATGAATTTAAAGTAATTCCTTTCAAAAGGACAGTCCTACATTGATTTTATCTAAAGAGAAAACAGAGCATTCTTGTTCCTGAATGAGAGAGTCCACACATGGACTTAATCAGGAAAAATTCTGTGTAGGCAGTGGAGGCGAACATTTTATTATCAGTAAGCACTTTTCATTTTAATCAAGGATTTAGATCTGAAGAGAAGACAGACATTTTAATCTACTTACCCAATTTTTGTTTTCTCTTTAATTTTGGATGAGGAACCAGTTTTCGGCTTTTTGCTCTCCTTGTCCTTTGGTTTGGATTTAACTTTTCTGCCCTTCTTTTCGTCTTTTGCTTCAGCTGAAACACTGGGGAAATTTTCAGGGCTCATTACTCGTGGAATGTTTCTCTCTCCTCTTTCTTTTGCTTTTGCAATTGCTTCAGATATTATACGATTTGCCTTCTCTTGTTTACTTTCCAAGTCTGTTTTTTTCTTCTGCTTCTTTTCAGACATTGCCCTCACCTGGGTATTCTGCATCTTAGTATATGATCCTGAACCATCAGTCTTCTTGGAGGAAGGAGGCTGAAGCAAGAGAGAAAAAGTAAATAAAATCCCCTTATTTTAAACGTATAAAGAAAAAGTGCAAGCATTTTTTATACAGATATGCATTTTTTAAAAAATGTAGCTGTCAGGGACGCATGCAGACACAAAAAAGGAGGAATTCAGTTTATACCACAGAATGGCGTGGGTTTCAGAGTAACTACATCAATTGTGGGTTTTAAACAACCAATCTGAGCACTGAAAGTCAGTAAAAAATGTCCTTCTAAAATTCTCTCAGCCTTCTCTCCACATCTGTAGTTAAACCCTTAACCTTTCCAGCATTCCCATACATTTGACACACACATCCAACACCTCCAGCAGAACATGGAAAAGCAACGAGCTCCCGAAGGTAACAGCATCAGTGTTTCGCCTTTAGTAGGATACCAGGACCACAGTTACCTTAAAGCAGACGAATGATCTACAGGACCGACTCGGTGATAAACACAACAGACGCTTGAACAACACCAAGATTAAAAAACAGACAAAAGATAAAACCAAAACTAAAATTACACAGCTCTGTATCCGTAAAACGATCAGATAGCAGCGTTTCTTTTATTCAGATCCACATACGCTCAGCGCCTCGGTTAAAAAACGTAACTTGTTTTTATCTTTCGGGGTTTTAATGCCCGTTTCATGGACGCAGAATTGTTTACTGGGCTGATGAGCCTCTCCTGCAGCCAGCCAGGAGACATGTTTTTGCTTTCCTCCCCTCCCCCTTTGAGGAATGGAAAGAATTTCCTATTCAAACACAAAAACCCAGCAGATAACAGTTATGTTACGTTCTCACCCGTACATGCGCCTCTGCCTACAGCAGGAAGAAAAGCCACCAGGAATTTCCACACACATTTTCTGGGCAAACCCCGCGCACTTCCCGGGATACATGTCCTATAGGTGCCTCATGGGCGGCGGGGGCGGGAGGCAGGGATGGGGCCGCTCCCGATGCCACCTTAAAGCCCCGGGGCTGGAACAAACAGCCGGACCCAGCACGGGAACAGCTCAAGATGGCGATGCGGCTCCCGCAGCAGCAGCCAGTAATAAGGAAGGTTATTCAATCCCATTAGCCTTTTAGCCCAAAGAACCCCTCCTCCTCCCACTCATTCAGGCTCTCACTTACCCTTCCTCTTGGCCTCTTCACTGAAGACATTTTTGGCGTCAGACAAAGACTTGCCCTCCGCTTTTGCAGCACCCCAGGCAGTGCTCAGGAGGAAAGCATGGGGAGAAGATTGCTAAATGGCCTATTTAGCGAGCGGCAGCCGGGCCGTGCACKGCGCTCCCCGAGCACAGAGCGGCTCCCGGAGCATCCCCGCGCCCTGCCCGGCGCGCTCCCGCCGCCCCCGGGCCGGGCCCGGCCCCGCCGTGCGCGGACAGAGGATCCCAACAAAGCGCGGAAAGAAACGCACAAAGCATCAAACGGCATCAGCGCCAATATTAGCGCTGGTTAGACCCGCTCCCCGCGGAACTAGGCCAGCAGATGGTGCTACCCGTCATTATTCCATTAGGCTCCGGTTTAACCCCCGCGGGGATCGGCTTTAACCCTTCCCGCTCCCCGCCCGCAGCGCCGCCCACAGCGGCCGTTCGCTCCGTGGAAAACCGTGGGAACCAGGCGCTGCTCCGTCCTGGACCTCGCTGCGCTGCGACCCTGCGGCTCCAGCCCCGGGGATGGCACGGGGGGACAGCGGCTCGACCCGAGCCTGTGGCCTCAAACAGATTTCGCTCTCCAGTAGACTTTTTTTTTTAAATCATTTTTCTTGCATTTAATTCGTTACTATAAGCCGGCAGCAGTGACTACATAAGCATTTGCTGACAGGCTTCCCTGCTTCCTACAGAAAATGGAAGAAGTCCTTGGGTTTATGCCTCTCCCCTGCCCGGACCTGCGGGACCCTGCGGTGAGGACCTCGCTTACTTGGGACTCGGCTCTGTGGTAAGCGCCTCTTCATTCCCAGGTTGGTTTAAAGCGCTATTTTAAAAGATCAGACAAGTTTTTATATACGTCTAGTCAACATATAAAATAAAAACAGAAAGAAGATACGGCTGGGGTTTTTGAAAGGCTATTAAAAAGACCAAGAAGCTTTTGACAGCATAGCTCTATCGTAGCAATACCCTTGATTCTCAGAAGCCTGTTCAAGAAGAATGAAGAAAAATGAGGATTTTATTTCTGTTTTGCTGAATATATACTGATACCTTTATTTTGCAATATGGATGTTTTTCCATAGAAAGTTTAAAATATTGCAAGGATTTTGAGATTGTTAATATTAGGCCCTACAATAAAACAAAATTTCACTTAATCTATTTCAGATTAATTTCAAAATTAAGTTCATTGTCCAGTGAAAACACTAATGGTACCAATAGATTAAATGGTCTCTTTCCTTAACAATACCATTTAAATTCAAGGATATTTTTGTAAATACGCAGCTTAATCACAAGGACAACGATTACATATTAATTTTACTTCTGAGAACTCTGGGAAAGATGTTTCTACATTATGCTTACAGTAGCTATAAAAAAATACAGGGATTTAGCTTTTAGGGTTATTATTTCGTAACTTAGTAAAAATGCTAAATAATGTACTATTTTGCATTTTGAGATCAGCTAAACAAAAAACCCTATTCCTAATATACCCTTGGTATAATTTCAGCTCTAAGCCAAATGCTACTAAAGTCAGTACTGTTACATTGGTATGTTCTTGAACATTCCTGAGCCAGAAACAAACAAACAAAAATGCTTAATAATTAAGTAGGCAATACAGAAATGGTGGCTTTTTCATTAATCCTTTTACAATCATCTTCCTAGATATTTTATTCCTTTAAAACAAAGTTTCTTTGCTACATTTACTCAGAGGTCAAAGCTGCCTTCCAATTTATTCCTCAACAACATTTACTACATTCTTACTGTAGAATTGTGAGTATGCTGGACAAGGCTCCTCTGTGTTATAATTCCTCAGGCTGACCCTCTGCTTCTTGCTCTGTACTATCCCTTCCGAATTCTGTCTCCTGCACTGCACAAACATTAAGCTATTTCTTAGAAATCTGAAACCATCTTTTTTTAATTTTGCTATGACATTTCTAACCATATGGAAATTACATTCATGAACAAGCAGGAATGCACCAGCCAGCCATTCTAAGCTAAATAAACCTGTAATGAAACCTTCAAGAAGGTCATAATTGTCACAAAAAAAACAAAACTGGAAAGCAACACAAGTGCCTTGAGATTAGAACATAAAACACACTTGGACTACAGAGGACAGGATCAGTGTGTACTTAGCAACCAAAGCAACAAAAGCCACCTAATTCAGCAGAGGTCTTTTATTCTGATAATAATTCCATGATTCCAAAATATGCATGGCTATAAAATGATTGAATGCTTATAAACCATCATGCACACTGAAAACCATTTCAGAAGCTACACAGCATCTGTAACAAAAAGGGAAAAGCCTTTTGCCAAGCTGAAAATACCCCTTCCCCCTTAGTGAGCAGGAGTGCAGATCAAACATCCTAAAGGAACGTATCCTTTCACCAGTGGCTTACAAACCTATTCCATCTAGAATAAGGGAGATTCTTAACTGACAAACACATAGGAGAAGATGGAAAGGAAAACCCTGAGGCAGCTACATATTTAAAAACTGAAGATTTTATTTGGAAAAATATGTTTTTACTTCTCACGGTTGCAAAGATTATCATCCAAATATAACTGAACGCAAACCAATGCAATGTTGTCTTGTGTCTGCACAGAGAGAGCTCCAGGGTATCTGCTGCTGCTAATGGCTTTGCCAAGCAGCAGCCGAGCACAGTGAACAAGCCTCCTGTCAGCTCCCTGCTGCTCCTCGCAATCCTGTGGGCAGCGGGGAAATTGGCAGCAATCACGTCAAATTCCCACTATTGCTGCCGCCTGCGAAAGCCATTAACAGCAGCAGGTATGGGCTGTGCTGCTGTTCACACCACTGAACCAGCCCTAAAAATACTGAGGGTGGAACAGATCAGACAACAGCTGTAGACTTCCCCACACATGCCCTCATTCACAGCCAGGGGAGCATCTTCTCAGCAGTATTCAAGTAAATTTGACATTCTGTTTTTCAGGAGTAGAAGGTATCCTACACATACCTCAATGATTTCTTAATTAAGCTAATGTAAAAGCAATCAAGTTACCAGGCAATATCGAGAGACTGAACTATGACAGCAGACTTCCTAATAGCCAGCGCTACTCTGCTGAGTAGGCTTTTCATGGAAAGGCATTTCTCCAACATTTTGTTGTGGTTGCAGAGGATATGCATTTGAAGACCTTCACTGGCAGTCCTTCCTCCAGTAAGGACAAACCACAATCCCGAACACTTACAGACATCGGGGTTTTCCCCTCGAAGGCCTAAACACATTTTAATTTGCTCCACAACAACTAATATTTCTTCACATCCTTTGTTAGCACTACAAAGGAAGTCCCAAAGAGAAGGTGAGTTTAACACTGAAAAAGAGATCTAACTCCTAGAAAACCTTCCCAAATCCTGCCTTATCTGTTCCAATACTAAAACATGGCTTCCACTGTAAGAACACCTTTCTTACAGTAGGTATGGCCATTCATGACAGAGTAGTATTACTTTCAATTCTATGCATGCACAGAATCTTTAAGACCGAGTATCTCTCCTTAGTTGCATCCATATATATATATCTCTATATATATATCCATTGATATATTTTAAGGACTGATAATGCTTTCCTCTGAATTTTAATGGGTCACACATTTGTGATTTAATTTTTTAAAAATAATGTTTTTCACTTGTGGATCTACTGACCCAAACATTAGCTACCACTAAGAACTAAATTATGACCTTAACTAGTCTAAGAATAGAAAACCAAGGTTTGAATTTGCAATGGCTTGAATTATCCTTTTATTCCTACTGGTAGTAGTACCCACCTGCAGGAAGATGCTCAGACTAAGTACCATATGCCTGGAGAACATAACAAGTTCTTGCAGGTCTACCAAGTCCTTAGGAAAATCAAGATGACCTTGACATCAACTTCACTAAAAGCAGCTAAAATTAGCCACCTGGAAACCTGATCTTCATGCATTACCACATCATCTTTGTTCATGTTTATTACTAAACAAGGCATCCCTTTGTGCATGTCAAGTCACCAAAATAGTATCAATATCAGAACCATAATACAAATAAATAAATTGCATAACTAATGATTAATCAATAGTTTGGGCTTTTTCCCCAAATCAGCTTATTTTGTCACATCATAATCACATGAAAATTTGAAAACTGCAGTTGCTTTTAAGCTGCTACAGTGAAAAATCTTAAAGGAATATCCATTCCTCAATTGAATTATAAAATTGTATTTATGAATGCAACTTTAAAAAAAAGCATGAACTCAAGTCGGTGATTTCAGAATTCCATTCTAGTACTCTGAACATTTTTCCTCTAGAATAGTCTGCATAAATAACTCTTCCAGTGATTTTTTTAATGGTGGATTTGTATTTCAAAGGTATATCTATTAAAAAAAAAAAAAGAACTCACACCCTTGACAGAGTCCATCTGTAGAAGATTGTTTAAAATATGAATGGGTGTCACTCCACATGTGGGCAGAAAGGAGTCTCCTTTGCTGCATGGCAATCCCAGCAAAAGATGTAGTTTTCCTTAGACAATATACTGGAATGAGATTTTGATGGTTAATCAAGCTACTTCTGCACAACTGATGGGAAGATCTCCTAAATATGCAACAGGATTTCTTTTCTCCAGAGAGAACTCCCTCAGAGTTCCTTCTGAATTGCTTTTTATTTTCTTGTTCAACAGTTGCCCCACACCATCTGCAGGGATTGCTTTACAAAGCCAAGAGCACTGGGGAAATGGAGATCCATGGGGTTCTATCATTTTTCCACTCTCTTTGGTACTTGTATGGAACTATTAAGGGAGCCAATGAAGCATTCCAAATTGTGGTTCTTTCAATATGCTGATAATACTCTTCCTTCTTTTTCTTGCTTATTATCATCGCTCATGCACATCTCAGTGTTTAAGGGATACAGAATTTCAAGACGAGCATATGTGAAACCTAACCCAAATTAAAATAGATGTTAGACAGATTATAAAAAAAAAGGAACAAGGTACAGGGGGAGAATCTATCTTTTCCCTCTTCTGTACTTGTTATCTGTAATGTTGGTAAATGAATGGCTAATGACTACAGCAACATGGCCAGGCAAAATTTTTATCTGTATAACTGTCACTTCAGAATGTAAATTTATGATTTGGGATGTGAAAGTTATTTGTGCCTCACAAGGCATTTAACACCATGCTTATAAGCAAATTTTAAATGAAATGAAAACATTAATGGAAAGGTCAGCAACCTTAAACTAGTCATATTTCTAAGATGAAACATGCACCTGTTTGTGTCACACTCTACACAGGGTGTTGTTTCACATCTCAGTGCCACAGAACCCACTAATAATATCACTAATCATGTTTTCCCACTAATATAGCAAAGATACCATAGTTATTAGTAGCAGCTTCTTAACCAGTGACTTCCCCTATCATTCACGGGGAGAAAATCAAGCCACTGTTCAGTGTAAGCAGCTGCTACCCTGGGCACACTGTAGAGGCAGCACTGGGTGTTACAGAACGAGTCTGCAGCACACATATTGCTTCCATTTGGAAGACTTGGTTTGAAGGCAGTATTTTGGGGCTCAGTGCCAAATATAATTAGAATGTTTTTTCTGAATATTTAGTAGCGGAATAAAAACTGTGTGTATTTGGCCCGTAATTCTTAAAGGAGGCACTATGTAATGGAGCACATTAAATTGCCAGGAAATAAAAGAAATTGAGAGCTTCATCCTGCTTGCTCTGCCAAGTGACTGCATTGAACGTGGCTCAGTTATCAGTGGCTTGGTGTTCTGTACCCACTTCTCTTGGGTTCCAGTCTCTGATGGTGAACACAGCTATTTGCAAAGTGGCAGACAATGCCAATAAAACCCACAGCCTCAGCAAAACTCCTCAGTGCTCTTTTTCACGTGCAGAACCAGTAACACTCAGTAGTTGTATTATCTAAGCCTCATGCAGTGCATACCTCATGTTCCACCTGTGGTCCCCACTACAAGTATCACTATATATGACTTAACAGGAGAAAACTCTGGGCTCCTATATATGAAAAAAAAATGCAATGTTCATATTCAAGACAACTGGTGGATGCACCATTGAATTATTAGGCTCAGACCAAATTCACAGGCATGCCATACCTCTATGGATTTTCTAAAGCCTTTAATACCTATCCTAATGGCAAAATGTTTTAGCAAAAAAGTTCCACTACACCATTTCTTTCTTGCATTTTTGATCATTCTTAACCTTACAAATTTTGCAATTATTTGACTCCTTAAAAAACAGTTGACTAAACTCTGTAATCTATAAAAGGAAAGTCAGGTTTCAGTTCACTGTTTGAAACAAGTCCTGTGTGGGCATCTGGAAATAAATCTGCAAAATACTTCACCAACTACTTATGGACAAGAAAATTCAAACATATTCTGTTTTAAAAAGACTAGTCATTAAAGTTCAAAATCCCCAGATAAAGCTGTACAAATATATTGATTCACTGAACTCTCACATCGTTCAACACCTTCTTAGAAGATACAGGTAATAGTTTGCTTCTTCTGAACCCCCCCACCCTAATTTTACAATAGGAAAAATGTATTTAACATGTAAAGCCAGATAGCTTCTATTACTGTGGGGAATGGAATGCTGCAAAGCAGTAAGAGAACAGCTCTCCCCAACTTTTTTTTTAATGACCTTTCATACTCCAGAAAAATATAACATTAGGTGAAGCTGCACTAATTTCAGGTGACAAAATCTTTCAAAATGCTGATTTAAAGGTAAAACAGCAAAGAATTGATTGCAAAAGTCTTCACAACAGAAAACAAAATTAAACTGCATTTTTCCACGTTGCTACCTACACACCCACGTTCTGTATGGCCATGAGTTTTGTGTGCTACCAAGAGAGTAATTTTCTCACGGTTTTATTTTTTTTTACCAACCAGAGAAGGAAGACCAGGTGACAAAACCCCACCCAAACTACCTTCAAAAAGAACAACACATAAGGAGCTTTTTATTCCCCTTAATCCAAACACCCAAGATCAGCTTCAGCATTCCTGTCCTGAGCACCCCAAGAAACCAGCAGAGCAAACATCTCTGAGCAAGGAAAAGCAACAGGACCTTAATTGTAGTTGGTTCTTGTCAAAACTTAATTTCAGTTATTGTGTTCCTTCTACACCTCTCATGGAAGTGGCCTTGTAGGAACATATTTTTATAATTGAAACAAAAATCTGCCATCCTTAGGAAGTTTACTACTGTCACTATTTCCTTCCACTGTCCCCCTTAAAGCCTCTCCATTTGTTAGCAGTCCCCAAAGCAGAAGATCTTACAGGTGTGAAGGGCTGTAAAGTGCAAATCCTCGATTCTTTGTACTCTTCTGCTACTTAGAGGAGTCACTGAACATACTGAAGGGATGAAAGAAGGGCAAGTGGGCAAGAACTGTGCAGAACCAGCAGGAACCTGCCCAGCTTTTGTCTCAACACCTCACTCCTGCAAGTACCTGCAGGAAGGAAATCTGGGCTAGATCAGAGAAACAACCACAGATTAAACAAAACACAGAGACAGATTCTCTTCCACAGTATGCTTTAACACCAAATTCCACTCAAATTTTGTAGTACATCAAGTGCAATGGTAAAATAAAACGCACTCCAAAGATAAGTGAACCAGCTTATCCAGAGTATGAAGGCTCTTGGAAAAACATGCTGCAACACATCATTGTCTTGTTCAGTCCCAGGAAATGATTCTATGATATTATAGGCAGCTTACTTTTTAAAATGTATTTTCAGTGCTTGTTCATAGCAGAACATTGTGAAAGATGACAGATGTGAAAAATAGGTATCATTTGATTAACAGGGTGATCATGAATGATCTTTAAAGCAAAGCAGACTGCATATTCAGAAAGGCTGGCATGTAACATCTCTCTTTACAATAATTTTATTCACTAGAAGCAGTGAAGTTTACAAGTTTACTCAATCTTTGAACTTCGTAGTATTACTGGATACCTAACCGAGTAACCAAAATGTTTTCAACGTAATTTCAATTAGATAAAAACCCCCAGCACTTAACGTACATTAAAATATATATACTGACAGGAATTGGGAAAAGCAATTATTTTTAACATGGACAGCTGGGGAGCCACTAATATCAGTACTGCCTGCACAGCATATTTCCATTAAATCAAGGGGGGGCATACTTCTTCCACTTCAGTTCAAACCAACTTACGTATTTTTTGTTTCAGCTTCAATGAACTACTTTAACAGCTTTAGATGCTGGAACCTTCAGCACAAAAGACTCCTTTAGCATATATGCTAACCTAATGAAGCCACTTCTGTTGAATCTAGTTATCTCAGTTAAATATTCATGAACAAAATCCTCCCCCCCAAATTAAGGAGTAAAACAAGATGCCTAAAGAAAAGGAATTTATCAAAAAGGGGTGATGGTTTGAAAATAGAGGCCCCGAGTCAGAGAATACTACTGAGGAACAGCAGAATTTGATTTCAGGCAAATGAAACCCAAAAAAGAAAAAAACCCAAACCGTTTTTTCCCCAAAAGTCTCCTAAAAAATTTCTAGAGAAAAAACATCCAAGAGCTTCATAGGGATAACCATAAAACAAACAAAAACCCAAACAAAAACACACCAAAAAACTCTAAAAACCCCACCCAGCAGGGAGCATGAACTTTTGGTAGGGATCAAACAGAAAAAGTTGCAAGACAGGTCTCTAGAAACATAAGCATAGTGGTAATTTTTTATCTCAACTCAGCCTGGCTGCTAGCAAAAGTGGCAGGACTAGACCCACTGGAAAGGTCAAGACAAGAGACATTCTTATCATCTTTAGTGGAGTTGAAGTCAACAGAAAGTGTCATCGACACAGAGCAGAATGACAGCCTGGTCAGAGACCACAGTGTGCTGCCAAGGACATCCCCAAGCACGGTCACAAGCACGAGCCACTTCGTTCCTCTGTCCCCAAGCAAGGCTGGGTCACCATTTCTGAAATCATATTTAGCCAAAAAGCACCCTGGGCTGGCACCACAAAACACATCTCTCGTGTAGTGGCAGGAGCTGCTCAGATTTCATAACACGACGTGATTGCACGTCAAAGAATCCTCCCAAGGATGATATAAATAGGAGCTACAATGCAGACACATCAAAATAAATTTGCCTAATCTTTTTTAAAAATTGTTCTTACTGAACTCAAAGACATTAAGACACATGTCTGGTTTTGTCACTCAGATGTTCCTTAAATAATTTACCTGCCTTCCCTGTGACAGCTTGGGTTCTGTGACAGCTGGTTGCTGCTTTTAGGAGTTGCAAGGACCAAAGTTCCTGCTACAACAGAGTTTACACATCAAGCTGAGCCATACGTGGGCCTCATGGACAACTGCTACAAAGACTTAACAAAGATAAAAAACAATCCACATGCATCTTCTTATTCTTCTGAAGATACAAACAAGGTACTGTAAGCCATAGCATGTTGCAAGTCACAAAAATCACAATAGCTATGTTTTTCTTGTAAGTTTGCTTAAAAATATTACTGAAGAACTCTCTGTATGTGTGGTAGTCAGTAAAAACAATTGGTACAGTGAAAAACAAAAGGTACAGTGAAACAATGGCCTTTAAGATTACTTAAGACTGTTTCAGAAAGACAGTTTTGACTGACAGGTTTTTAAAATAATGTTTCAAACTATAAGAAAAATACACAAAATGCTCAGAACCAAAATATCTGCAATGTTTTCTTTAACACTAAGGCTAACTTTTCCTTCCAATATATAAACTACAACTAAATTGTGAAGTCATGAATATCTTTTAAAAGAGGACTTCCTATCAATCTATGAAACTAATTCTGGTTTGCAATTCAATATGCTGCCAAATAGCTTATGTGCACATATATGATACACTACAAACATTGAAAATTATTCTCAAAGACAGACTAACTCCTGAAAGGACAGAATGTAAAAGATGGGAACGATTTCATGAGATATAAATTAAAATGCTTGCCTTCACAGTAAGATATCAAGGGAAGAAAAAACCCAAGTACAAACACAAGCCAAATAATCCACACAAAAGAAAACCTGCCACATTTATGAAAGAAAAATTACACAGCTTTCAAAAACGTAAGACTTGTCATCTTTTCTCGCCTAACATTGCTAGTTTCATTTATCAAACTTACTCAAATCAGCATTAGAATTCTCAGTCTCATCATCCCAGAAACCCACTAATTTATATTTATTAGCCTTTAGAGTTCCCAATCCAGTCAACACCTGACAATAGACACTCTTCAAAATCCATGTAACCCACAACTTGAGCAATTTTTTTTTAAGCTGATAATGAACAGAGAAAACAACACCTCTCCAGATGCAGGAGGCTGTTAGGTAGGCAAAGTGCTGGAAATTATTTTGATCTATATATTTAAAATTAACATAATAGCTAAAAGAAACTATAAAACCTGAGTGCACAAATCACACTGACATCTGGACAAAAGCTACATGAATTCCAAATGTAATTCAGATTCCCTGGCTTTGAAGCCATACTACTGGTTAACACCTTGACAAGTTCTGCTTCTCTTTCAGTAATAACACTTCACTAACACTTCATAAAGTGTATGATTTTCTAAAAAATGTCTCAAGATAGAGGGCTGTTTTGGAAGTTTTAGAGGCAAAGGTATGTTTGAAGCCACTCAAAAGTTTAGAGTTTGCATAATAGTGTCAGTGAAAACAGGTTAGTGGTTACTGGAGCCAAGGGATAGTCCTACATCGAGCCCACTTGCACTCTCTTTGCATTTGAGGTTACAGTTCCATGCACAATTATTTTGCCTCCACTGCAGAAAATGATGCCTCCTACTCCTTTCTCACACAATCCTAGGATGGCTGAGGTTGGAAGAGACATCTGGAGATGGTCTAGTTCAACCCCCCTGCTAATGCAGGGTCACCTAGATAGAACAGGTGGAACAGGATCATGCCCAGATGGTTCTTGAATAGAAGGGGACTCCACATCCTCTCTGGGCAGCCTGTTCCAGAGCTCTGCCACCCTCACAGTAAAGAGGTTTTTCCTCATATTCAGATGGCAGATCCCCCATTTCAGTTTGTGCCCATTGTCCCTTGTCCTGTCCCTGGGCATCACTGAAAAGTCTGGCCCCCTGCTCTTGACACTGTGAGATACTTGTAGGCATTGATAGCTTCCCTCCACTGCTTCTATGCAATATGATTCTGGGCAACTGAGATAACTAAACCAGGAACTTCTATTCCTGAAGTTCCCTGACAAAAAAAATGCAAAGTTTCTCTGGACATGGAGTTTCCCAGTTCAGTTCATAGCACAAATGGTTGCATTAACACAACACAAAGTGGAAGAATAGGAGCTTTTTTTCTTAACGTTTTTTCCCTTAACTAATTATAGTTTAGGCATATATTGAACTGCAGCTTTAACAGCCTACAGGATGGGTTGCTGTCTTTAAAAGACAATTTAACATGGATTTTGTTTTCTCTTTTCTCTGTAATTAGGTACCATTTCTTCTAGACACTAAGCTTGCACAATTATATCAGTACTCTTACATTACTGAATTGCTTTATAGTTTTTCAGTGTTAACAAGACATCTGTTTGCAAATAGTAGATTATTCAACCACATTTATCCTGCAATATCATTAAAAAATTAATGTAAATTGAACTTATTTTTGTCAACTAGTCTCACCTTGCTATCTGTAGGATTACTCCTGTAATTTGACCCAGCCAGAAGCTTCCTTCCTATGCCTGCCATCTGTTAACTTCTTTTTGCAAAAATGCTTCTCTTTTGGCACATTTTACAGACAATTATAGCAGTCATTTAATGAGTGCGCAATTATCTCAGGAAAAATTATATTTGTATATTATAACAATCATTAAAACAGCAAGTACTTAATTTGAAAGAGGAAACACACAAAGAATTGGACAGCCTGATTATTTGACAAGTGACAGAGGTTGAGAGAGACTTAAGAAAAGCAATAGTGATAGCAAAAAAGATTCAAAAAAGATGAAACAATTTATCTCAGAGATGGTAATTACAACCTCATAAAGCCTTTAAAACAGTAAAACAGATACTCTGGCACATTTTCCCTGTTCTTAAAGGCCCAGCAATTTTTAGGCATATTATCATAATTAATCATCTGTAAATGTGTTACAGACTAATCTCACAAACATGTACTTCCTTTCCCCAACATATGCAATTTGTAATTTATAAAAAGAAATAAAATGTATAAAAGGCTTAGATAAAACATATAAATTATATACAAAAGCAAATGCTTCATACACATTCAACTATAAATAAAGCTATCAAAACATTGCTCTCTTTAATGATTAATATATCATTGGCAAAACCCCATAGATTAATAATGAAATCATATGATATACAACTATAATTTAAAAACTTGGTTCATTCGAGGAGCTGCACTACTTAGGCTCAGAAATATTGCCCTACTCCTCTCAGTAACTCTTTGCTTTTGACACAGCTTTGCCACTTCCATTCCCACCTGTTTGTGCAGCCCTTTCTCAAATCATAGAAAGAAAGCAAAAAAACCTGCAAAATATTGTACAAAGAAGGTCAGTGGAGGGATTACTTTCATTACTTCAGCATAGATGATAAACCTATTAGATGCTGGAAGATAACTGAATTCTGGTGCCTCACTGTGGTAGAGAATTTGAGCTCCTACAAGGACGGTGAAAAATATTCCTGAAGCACAGAAAACTAAGTCCAGTGCATACAACTTGTAGAAATGCTTAAAAGGGAAGTTCAGACAAAGATTTACATTTGCTAATATGATGTCACCCATAAAATTATCTCTAATTAAAGCAACAATATAAATACAATGGATATGCTTAATGGGAGCTATACCAGCACTATTAACCACTTTATGAAAAAGAACAAGGTTTTAAGGCTCTTTTGGTCTGTAGGTTGTTTTTAGGGGTGTGGGGGTTTTTTACATCTTGAGATTACAAGTTATGATTTGTAATGCACCCAAATGCTTACTGGAACAGATGTCTAGATTTCAGATCATAGCACCATTAAGGCTGGAAAAGACATCCAAAATCATCAAGTCCAACCTTTGACTTGAAGCAAAGCAGGGCAAATAATGAGATGTATTTTATCATTCTCAGTTATTCACTGCTTGCCAAGTAACACACATATAGCAGCACCATAATTTTACAATCTTGTATTGTACCAGCACTTAGGAGCCATAACCTATAAACTTAGTGTGCAAAACACCCAGTCTCTTCTACAAAGAATTTCTAGATAGTGTGATCAGTTCATTACATTTAAATATTACTCATTACAGGCTTCCTTAAAATTAAACCATAGAAAATGTAAGAAATACACTCTAATAAATATATACCCTTGATTTTGATACATCTTCCATAACTGCATATATCAAGTAGTTGTCTGGTTTTGGCTCTTATAACTAGCCAAGAAAACACATCACTGCTTACTATGTGTTTCTCTCATAAAAACTTTACAGTGCCAAGATTTCATGTACAAGTAGAATAGCAACCAATGGCAGAGTAAGGGGTTTACAAGTGGAATAATCCAAAGGATAAATGTCTACAATGAGTTTAGAGCTGATATAAAAGAGAGGCATCTGATAACACAGAGTTGAAAGGCCTGTGACAATTTAGGGCATCTCAGCAGCACATAAGCCTGGTGAAAATTAATTGCCTCTCTGGTGGGACGCTCATACATGAGTTTATGGCATTCTGATAGATACAGATGTCCTGGGGTACAACACCAACCAAGCAATTATCTACAATGTTCAGATTTTCTCTGCCAAGCTTTCAACAAGGGCAAGACAAACTTCCAAAAAAACATCATCTGTTGCTATAAAACAAGTGGTAGGACAGCTCAAGCTTGCAGGCATAAAACCACTTGCATGTTTTAAGTCAGTTTTTACAAAAACAATGTGAGATACTGGAACTCATGAATACACTGAATTGTCAAGTTAGGTGCCAAACTTTCAGTCACAAAAAGGAAAAAAGTTATTCATTTGATTTAAGAAGACTACTGCATTGTCCTATAGCACTTAGGATTATTAATGGAATATTATTTTTCAGTTCAACCTCACTTTATCCGTTTTCATGTATGTAGCCAGAAGACATTAGAACGCTTATTACAAAATAACATACACAGTAAGATGGCTGTAAACTTCTCTTAGGACAGTTTATACTTCAGATTATCTTTCCAACTTCCTTTTTCTTCTAAATATGCAAAACAAAGTTGAAGCCTGTATTTTTGTCATCTTTTTTCAACATTATGAAAAGCAAATAGATTATTTAGCAAATTCAAAACAGTTTTAAGTGGAGTTAATAAGATCACAAGTCTTGTATTAGTCAACACTGAGGCTACATGAATCTTCAGTGCATTTCTCTACTTTACTTTCTGTTCTCTAACTCTGATGAAAAATGCATGATGTAAAATTAAGAGGCACAAGTTATTTACAATTCTAATCTAATTACAGCAAGCATAGAAAGTGTATTAGTAGCATAAGACAATCTAGATTGTTTTTAATTCTGCAGCATTATTACACCTAACAGACTGTATTAATTTTT